GTGTGTGTGTGTGTGTGTGTGTGTGTGTGTGGAGGAGCAAAGAGAGAAACAACAGGGTTTTAGATCCTCTCACCGCCTTGACAACTGCCCTGCTGACCACGGGATCATGGAGGGAGACAGTAGCTCTTGGTTCAGTTACTCCCTCTGATTAAAAAAAAAGTGTCTCCAAAACATGTCCGGTTCAGCTGCTAAGGAACTGACAGATCTTGGGTCGGCCTGTGTTCCAATAACTGGGATCCAACATGGTACGAACACCGGACTGATTCCAACTAAATCAGGGACTATATTTTTACACAACCCGCGGATTGATCCTCATATTTAACCCACAAATGGTCTGTTTAGGCCGCGCGCGCAACAGGACCAACATCACTCACTGCAGCCGCAGAACAACATGCTGTAAAAATGACACTTTGACCAAAACAAAACAACACATTAATGAAAATATCAGCAGACTAACAAACTTYTCACGTTATTTTGTTCAGCATTATTAATAAATAATGACACTAAACATTGTAAACATTTGATTGCATTAAACAATATTTTACTGATAATATGAATAATTTCACTTCAATATTACACCTAAAAAAACTTAAGAGAACGTTACTTGATTAGTGCAGAGTATTTTCTAACAAAGTTGTGAAGGTCTTTGTTTACTGATGCTGCTGAATGGCTCGTGAGCTGTGACGAGGCGCTCGTGAGCCCTTGCGCACGCGCGACCGCACACCTGTAAATGACGTGACTGATCTAATTGACGCCTTTTTAATCAGTCGGATGTATATTCAGGACACTGAACGCATCATGTCAGGTCAGAAGCAACGCGGACGGCTTTGTTCATCCAGCGCGCGCATGAAGACATTCTTTACTGATGGATTTAAATAAACTAATTACAACTGCGAAGTTTATTGATCACTAAACAACCAGGAGCTGTTTGATATAAAAATATGACAAGGGAGAAACTATAAAAACACCATCAGGACATAATATTGTCATTATAATATGAGCTAAAAACATTTACTTTATTAGTTTAAAATAGATTTTAAAAATATGTTTATTGTTTTTCATAAATCAACTTAATTTATGGTCATGTAACTATAAATATGCTTATTGCAGGATATTAATTATATTTAGAATATTAAAGGAAAAGTGTTCGTGAACAAAATCTAACTTCAAATTTTAAAATACATTTTAATTATATTTTATATTAAATAATCGTATAAATACATATATTCTAAGACGGTTTTTATCTGTTATAAATTAGGTCACTTGAAGTCCTGGAGCCAGTAAAAGCACTTGAATGTTGTACTTTAATAAAAAATAAATAGATTAAATTTGGTTGTGCTGTGCCAAAATAAACACGCAAACAAAAACAGCATAAGGAAAAGCAGATTAATTACTGGTTTATATGTTTTGATTTAAACTAATTGTCAAAAGGTATGAGACAGGAAATAAGATTTAAAAAGCGCAGAGTCAGCAGTTCCATTTTCTGTCTCACATCGGAATCAACTCTGTAGTTTATTTGTCAAAAAAATACAACTTTTCTTGACGCGATCAGGTTTCGTCTGTCCTCTCTGCTCCCAGGCCTGTGATTGATTGGAGGAGCTCTGAGGCTGGCACCCCCCCCCCCCCTCCACCTGAGGGGTCCAGCCGCTCGAGCGCTCAACATGATTGGTCGTCATCCTGCGGCCGCGGCCACCAGAAGCGCCTCCTCCCATAAACGTCGTCAGAGCGCACCGACGCTTCCCACTTTCCTTCCAGGAGACGAGCCGCGGCGCTGCTGCCGGAGAAAAGAAAAGAAAAAAAAAAAAAAAAACCTTTCTGCGCGTCCTTATGGCACACAACTAGCAGGTACGTGGCGTTAAAGCAGCTTCTTGTGTGTTTTTAATGTCCCTCTCCTCCTCCTCTGTCCTCCTGCTGTTCAACATCTGGCCCGTTGCGCGCAGCGGACAGTGAACGCATCATTTCGGGGGGTTTTGTTTTATCGCTGCCTGCCTCTCGGTCCTTATCTCTTTTCGGGTCTTATCAAACCGTTATCTCTTTCTCTGTGGAGACATATTGCGTTTTGTTTCCTATCTGTTTCGCGTGTATGTGTGTGTATATTTGTGTGTGTGTGAGAGAGAGAGTGTGTGTTGTGGGAGGATAGCGATTTGACACGGATGGACCCAGAGCCTCTTAAGAGCTTGATGGGAGTAAGTCTACAGGCTGGGTGTGTTTTATTGGAGATACAGATGMTATTTACAAGTCGGGATTCTTAGTTTAGAAGTTTATTAAATTAGGATAAACTAATCACCAGCTGGCGCGTTATTTAAATATTTATTTTACAAGTTCTTGATTATCTCTTTCTCTTTATTTTCAGGGTGAACTGCCCTCTGCTCGTTTTTTTTTTCTACTTTTTTTTTTCTATTAAATCGTCCTCCCGGTGTATGGAAAGCGCTCCTGGATGGACCTGGGCGAAAACAGCTGGTCCATGGTCAAGCGAGAAGTTTCCAGCAACCCAGGGTCGCCGGCGGAGCAGACCTACCTGGCCGGTGACAGCAGGAGGGACACCTCCGTGGAGCTCAGGACGCCTCCAAGCGACCTGGACGCGCTGGGCCCCCGGCGCGCGGACGGCAGATCGCTGCACTCCTACCTTCACTTCGGACACGCGCACGGTGGCGGCCTGAGCGCCGCCGAGGACATCCCGCTGTTCACGGACTTGGATCAGGGGAGCAAGCTCGTCCTGTCCGCGGGAGCGCACAAGGCGGCGGGCCTGCTGGTGGACCCCACCGACATGTACCAGACTCTGGCCATCGCCGCCGCGCAAAGCCAGAGCGGATATGATTCCTCGTCGGCGGGGTACATGCACTCCAACCCCAACTCCCCCGTGTACGTCCCCAGCTCCCGGGTCAACCCCATGATCTCCAGCCTCCCCTACTTGCAGGCCGGCGGCTCCGCGCAGCCGGGACACGCCGTCTCCAGTCACTCGGTGTGGTCGCAGTCCGCCCCCGAGAGCCCCTCGTACGGCGCCGGGAGCCCGCACACCTCCAGCCGCTTCCACTACACCCCCAGCCCCCCCATGAACAACGGGACAGCCAGGGACAGCGGCTACAGTAACACGCTGAACGTGAGCAGCAGGGACCAGTACGGCCTCTCCCGCCCACTCAGTGGGACCTACGCGAGCCCTTACGCCCCTTACGTCGCCCCCCAGTTGCCCTCGCCCTGGACCGGGGGGGCTTTTGACAACACTATGCTGCACACCTTGCAGAGCAGAAGCGCGCCCTTGATTAGAGGACCGAACGGAGGTAAGAAAACTTCCTATAAGCTGAGGAAGTGTGTTGGAATTATATTTACTTCATTAAAAATGATTCAATGCACAATGTTTATTATGGAGAACTAAGATAAGAAAGTTTAA